AGGTTGGGATTGAGGAGTGTAGGCAGAGTTGCATAGGTTCCTAATTGGCAGAGCAGGCAATGCTGTAGGTTGAGATTAAAGTATGTTGACAGCTGCGCAGGGGAAATTTACAAAAGCACTTACCATCAAGTAAGAGAGTGCTCTTACTGACTTGCTGCTACCCTCAGTAGCCTATTGTAAGTGCCAGACTCACCTCAAATCTGAAAACTTATCTTCATTTAAGAAAAAAATTAAGGCTAAACACATATTCTTTCATTGACTGATACAAAAATAAAATCGCCTTCAGAATCTTGCACCGTTTTACAAAAGTTCAAACATGAACAAGTGTGGAAATGAAGAGCTAGGGGATCTAACCTGTTTCCCACCGCCAAGTAAACCTTTCTCAAGCACCCAAGTTGCACCACTCTTTACCCTCTGGTCTCCTAGCCATGTTCCCCCCTGCCATTCTCTCCAAGCATCTGCGGCCAGCCAGTGTATGTGTACAGAGTATCTGAGTGTGTCCCTGGCCTGAGCCTCAGGTAACAGGAGAATGGGGAGGGAAATTCAATACACTGTCCAGTTACTTTAACACATACTTGCTTTTGCTTACTTGCTATACTAGTATTTCTCCACCTTGGCTCAAAGGGAGTCAGGAGCAGGGCTTTGTTCTGCTTGGACAAAAACAGAGAGAAATGTCAAACAAAGGACAACTTGCTCAGCCTGGGAAGAAAAGAAATTGCCATTAAGAAATCTCTTGGACCCAGTTTAATCCTCCTGCAGAGCATCAGTTTCTCAGTGCTCACTGGCTTGGTCCTCAGATTTTCCCAACTCTGTTTCCAGCCAAGGGAGAGTTACCCTTCAGGCCTTACCCAGCCTCCCCTTTATATTGCTACTCTACCGAACCCCTACTTGCCTATCTCTGCATAGGAGGTTTTCACTCCATCTCTCACTCTTCATGTTGTATCTAGTTCTTATGCTAATCCCTCTATAAACCATACAAATGGTAGTTGATTCCTTCCCTAGAAAGCCAGCAAACACAAGAAACATGGAGTTGAGACATTTTGGACACACGAGGAAAACAAGTTAGGAATATTTTTAAAAGTTTCTCTGTTTATTTTCTTAAAACACATCCAGATCCTTTGTTTATGTAAACATTCAGCTATGACAACACTATCGTAAAATCAACTCCATATTTCTGAAACTGCCTTTGGTTAGTATGTTTTTTTGGGGGGGAGGGAGGAGGCAGTTTCCAGACTTCCCAGAAAATCTGTCCTGAAATGAGAGAAGTCAAGTGAAATGCAGAGGATTGATTTATTTATTTTTAAAGGAAAAGGTTAACTGTAGTGGGAATCGAACTTCATCCTCAGCTTAAGATGCTACCAGCATTCACTTTGATACAAAGCAGAACCAGGCATTGCTTGGCTGTCCAATGATTTTATGAAGGAATGATGGGGAAACCATTTTGAAAAGAAGCCATCTCATTTGTGTCTGCCATTCATTTCCTCCTGTCCAAAAGAGCGTGGTGCTCAGTGACCCATCCTGAGCTCCTAGGGCCTCATTTGCATAAACAGTTTAGGCAGCCACGCGCAGATCTGTGTGACATTGTCCAGGATTCCACAAGAAGCTATACATTGGACCGAGGGCGTGTCAGAACATAGACCTGAGCTCTCTGAAAGGTTTGTGAACCTTACTGAGCCTGGGCTGAGTTTGGAGTTTGTCATTAAATGAAATTCACTGACTTTCTAGTTTCCATTGTCACAATGTCCCACAGATGTAGCCAAAGCTAAATGCAGAGTCAGCCCTGCCAAAGCAGAGATATTCACTTTGGGGAAGATTATCCCAACCCTTTCAAATCTCAAAAAAGGTTCGGGGGAGGTGCAGCTCAAGTTTTTGGGATACAGACACGTGGCCCTAAAGTGCTAACTTCTCACCCAGCTAAGATCTTGTCCAACATTGAAGGTGTTTGGTTCTGGGATGTTCGTTGGGCACATTGCAGAGAAAGAAACTGTCTCAAAGTTTGGAACTAACACCTCAGATTAGACTGGTGAAGGGGATGAACTAACACTTCGGAGCCAACCAAGTTTAAGACTAGTTCATCCTCTTCACCAGTCTAATCTGAGGTGTTAGTTCCAAAGATAGCCACAAAGTGTGGCTCCTTCCCAACCTTCAGCAATATTCAGAGCTGAGGTTTTGGTCAGGCCCTTCTCTAATTCTAGGCAAAGGTTCCAGCTGCTTATTTATGCTGAACTGATTCCTTTTATCCCTCTTTCTAATGTGACCAGGATTCAGCTCTGGGGGCAGACATGTTCAAATATGAGTATCCCAGCAGCTATTTCATATTCTGCTGATGCTCTTGGATTGGGGGGAGGGGGGTAGGAGAGGCTTTGCACCCTCAGCATACAGTGACACAAGGGCATTTTTTTTGACCCACACGGAAAGGTGTAAATTATTATAATGGGACAGGAAGCAGACAGGGCAGTAGCCCTGGGCTAATTGGTTTCTATAGATTCAGTTCACAGCCCAAATATGCAGAAAAGCTCCATCCCCCATTCCCAATGCAAGGAGGAATGGGAAAGGAGCAGGAAGGACCTTTTAAATTTTTACAGTAAGACTCAGTGTTCAAAGGCAGAACAAATACGTTTACTGAATGTCAGGCATGGCGAGGCATATTACTAGAATCAACTGAAACTCACAGCGTCCTGTCCCAGCATGCGACGTCTGCTTTCTTTGGAGACCAGGAATTATTCAGTAACTGTCCTGTGATTGTTTCAAAATCCTGGTTGGGAGCATGGACACATGGTCTTTCCTGAACATTTCAACTGAGGGAGGCATTGGAAAAACAGGGCTTGTTGCAGCTTGTTTCACATAACATCTGAGTCCTATTTCAGAATTGTGCAGCATTTGCTTGGTTAAAAAGAACCAGAAGTCCATGGATTGCTTGAGATGGGGATGTCCAGGCCATGCCTCCTTAGATTTGAAGAATGTTTTTTAAAAAAAGTGTAAATGTTAATATGGAACACTCAACAGATTCTCATATACAGTAGTGCACAATGCTCTATTGGCCTCAGAGGAAGGACTAGGGACCTGATCCCCTGACATCCATCCAAAATGCCCCATGAAGTTCCATTTTCTCATGATCTACATAGTTAGCTTCTTGAGAGATAGTGAGTTCTTCATGTTTTTCTCATTTTCCTCTCACCTCAACTATTATTTTTCCCTGGGAATTTAGTATAGCTGGATTCCTCCAGGGACTCTGTAGTTCTAAGGTCCATGGAAGACACAAAGAGCAAATCTTTCTGCCCCAGTGTGCTGGATATTAGGTATCACCAGAACCCATGTGCATATTTTCAGTGTATCGTATGGACTGTAGTATGTTATGTTGTATATGTCCATGCTGAGAGCAGTGGGATTTTCCCCAGACACAAGATGTGTCCTATGTTTTGCAGCAGCTGTGAAATTCCCTGTCTCAGTGAAACTTCGAGAGTATCCAGAAAAAAGATGCTGCAGTAGACAGCCCTGCTTTCAGGTGTCTCCTCCCCCTCCCTCCGTCTTGATATTTTCCTGCAGCAAAGGTTTTAATTTTAATATTTAAATATTAGCTCTAGTCTTATAACATTATAAATTCTGTGTGTCAGCCATTTGTGAGCTTGGAACTAATATTAATGTATTAACCACTAAAATGAAAGGATCAGAGTATTAAAGTGATATGCTAAAAATTATGGCTCAGGGTCCATGTCTGCTATAGAGAATAAATGTTTTGGAGGCATAGAACCCAGGTAGCAGCTCCAATATCACCTTTCTGTCCTGGAGCTGGTGAAGAGAAAAGATGGCTTGACCTGGGAGTCTGACTGCCAGTGCTTGACTTATGGGAGAAAAGTGGGGAGGGGGCTGAATGTCAAGTACCTTGATTTTATTTAAGCAGCAGTGAGAGGTAAGGGGGGGGAGGGGCATTAGAAGTGAGAGAGCCCTAAAAGTAGTAAGCTGGCTTGCCACCCCCACCCCAATCCCTCCTAAAATTTGAGCATTGCTGACAATGCCTGGTGACTAGAACAAGCCATGTTATTGCTCTTGTGGGCAGGGCAGGGGAGTTAGAAGGAATGATAAAGACCTTAATACTCAAAAGAGGAAGTTTGCACTGAGAAATGAGCTGAATGCTCCCAGGGCCTGTTCTGGACTGGTGAAGAGAGCCCCTACAGTCCTCCTGCTAAGCAATATCTCTGATGAAACCTGGAAGGGACGGAAACAGTATTTACAGAGTTGTACTTACATGCTGACTCTGTTTATGTGGGCAAGCACTGAGACTTTGGAGCCCTATGGAAGAGAGGTGCTGCTTGATGGGGTTAGTAAATAATACTCATGCAGCTTGAGCATCTTAACTATTGTATTTAACACCTTGCTAAGGAGCCCATATCTGACAATACATCTCATCTAGTCAGGTGTTTGATCCAGCTATAGCAATGCTCCTTCTATAAGCTTTCCATATTCAGCCCTTCTGTCAAACTCTTGTATCCTGGTGCAGTTCATGTGTGTCAAAATGTTTAAACTTGGGTGCCTAAAGCTAGACACCTGAATCCATATTAGGCATCTAATTAAATGCTGGCACCAGATGTAAAAAAACAAAACAAGGTATGTTGTATGTGTAAATGGGTGGGTGGGAGGACAAGAATCAGAACGTCTCTCTCTTTCACTACCCCTCCTCCCCTCATGCCCTATGATAGTGTTCTCAAAGGCAAGCTTAGGAGAAATCCAGAGGCTCAGTAATTGCATGCTGGTTTTCCGTGTGGATAATTTCAATCTCCACAGTTGCCTAGATTTGTCTGGGATAGATAGTGACAAATTACTTTTATTTTGCCTTTTGGTTTCAGTCCAGAATCTTCTCACGATGAATCTCTATTTCACTCCATGATCCTTTCCACCAGACCTGCCTGCCCCCTCTGTCCCTGACCTGGGCACCACAGAAGGCTCTAGCCATGAGGGGCAAGAAGCCAGCAGTTCTGATCAATGTTCTCTTTATTCCACAGGGGAAGATGAAGATCTTGTTCTTCCTGCTCATACTAACAATGATGCCACTTCCTACATCTTCCGTAAGTTAAGCACCTTTTCTTAAGAGTGGCTTTTGCCAGGGATGTGTGATGCTGTTGCAAAAAAAGCAAACATGATTCTGGGATGCATTAATAGGTGTGTTGTGAGCAAGACACGAGAAGTCATTCTTCTGCTCTACTCTGCACTGGTTAGGCCTCAGTTGGAATATTGTGTCCAGTTCTGGGCACCACGTTTCAAGAAAGATGTGGAGAAATTGGAGAGGGTTCCGGAGAAGAGCAACAAGAATGAATAAAGGTCTAGAGAACATGACCTATGAAGGAAGGCTGAAAGAATTGGGTTTATTTAGTTTAGAAAAGAGAAGATTGAGGGGGGACATGATAGTTTTCGGGTGTCATGAGGAGGAGGGAGAAAACTTGTTCATCTTGGCCTCTGAGGATAGAACAAGAAGCAATGGGCTTAAACTGTAGCAAGGGAGATTTAGGTTGGACATTAGGAAAAAGTTCCTAATTGTTAGGGTGCTTAAATACTGGAATAAATTGCCCAGGGAGGTTGTGGAATCACCATCTCTGGAGATATTTAAGAGTATGCTAGATAAATGTCTGTCAGGGATGGTCTAGACCCGTGGTCCCCAACGCGGGGCATTTATGTGCACCCGCCAAGTCTGCATTAGGCACACCCTAATGCAGGGGCGGACTGGGCCGGCACGACAGAGCCACCGGGCTCTGCACTCCTGCACCGGAGCTGGTAGGGATGCAGCTGGCACTTACAGCCCCGCCAGAAGACCCCACCGGGCCGAGGGACTCCAACAAGGAGGACAGCAAGCTGACCCCGGCCAGGGAACGTACCAGGCCGGGAGAAGGGAAAACGGGCATGGCTGAGAGAAGCGCGAGCATGCGCAGTCAACCCGGGTGGAGTCACTTGCTGCGCACCGGAGGGGGTGGTACCATGTCGGTGTGGCATTGTGGCACTGTTTTAAAAAACGGCCAGCTCGGAAGGGAATACCAGGCCGGGAGAAGGGAAAACAGGCATGGCTGAGAGAAGCGCGAGCATGTTTGTGGCTTGGGGAAGGAGGAGTGGGATGTGGGGGAGCAGAGCCTGGCTAGAGGTGGGACGGCGGTGAGCACACCTGGCAGGGCGGTAGTGCTGTGATGGGCCGGGGCTGTGAACGCCGAGCGGCCCAGCTCCAGCACCTGGTCCGGAGCCCAGGCTGCAGGGACTTCTGGGGCTCGATCACAGCAGACTCCAGCCCTGCAAACTGGAACGGAGGGGAGGGGAAGAATGGGGGAAAGGGTGGGAGAGGGAAGGGGCTTGTGCTGATGGGAAGGGGGGCAGGTCAGGAAAAGAAAGGGGAACGCACCAAGGGACAGGGTGGAGGAGATACAAATGCCGGGGGAGGGAGGCAAGTGGAGATAATGAGAAAAAGGGCAGGAGGGGAGGTGTCAGTGGGAGGGGGGACAGGGTGATACTGGGAGAGGAGAGGATAAGGGCATTGGGGCTAGAGTGGGGAGGTGCTGGGAGAAGGCTTGAAAGAAGGGATGGGCATGAGGAAG